CCTCTCCCTCTATGCAAAAGGATATGATAGACTCTGAAGATCCCCTTATAGAAGGCCTCACCCTCCCTAGTGAGCAGAAAGTATATGGGATGGGTAGGGATTTAGTGTGGGGGGCATGGGAGGAGGTGAGGGAGAGGGAACTGGGATTGACATGTAAAATAATTTTATTTCTAATTTTACTAAAAAATGGAGAAAAGAAAAGAAAACTTGGCCAGCTCCAAATTCAGTTTATTTCAATTTAGATCTATATACTGCAGAGAGCTAAGATGACGCCATGGAGCATTCTTCATGTTTTCATAATGTTTCTACCAATTACATTTTCATGCCCATATCCACCACAGGATGAAAATAATGCCTGAGTGGAAAATAGAAAAAAAAATTATCTTGATATCTTCTTCCATAACTCATGAATTAATTTGCCTACTATTACCTAGCATTATTTTTCCTTGTCTACTTTGGAAACCTGATAGTAAAGTTGCACTCACCTACACACATTAAGGGAAGAGAACATGTGATTTGTTTTCTGAGTTTGTAAGACCTGGATTAATCTTATTCATTAAAGGCCATCAATTTTTCTACAATTTTGTGATTTCATTCTCTAACAATATTTTAATATTATACCATTTCATATGTAAGTACAAATTTTATTATGGATTTATATATTCATGGATATAAATGTGGGCTCAATATGCATGAACTAGAGCAACAATAAACATGGATGGACACAAATATTTATGGAAACAAATGGAGGTTTCTGGATATATTCCCTTGAGTGTAAAAATTGGGAAATATATTAGCTCTATTTATTGTTTTGAGGACCCTGAAAAGTGATTTCCATAATGTAGATGTCAAATATGTTCCAAACTTTATTAATGAAGTCCACATTACACTGTTGCCAAACCAGATAACAACACAAAAATAAAAACAGTAATTTACATTCTAATCTCCATGATGGACAGAGATTCAAAATTTCTCAAAAATATTGGCAAAGAAAAATAAAGATGACATTGAAACCACCATTTATTTGCACTCAATTTCTGCATGAGGTAAAAGGTATGGATAATAGTTTTTCAATACGTGGTCTCTGGAGGTGCTCTGTTTGGAGATGGTGAAGACTGTTGGTACCAGCTTAGAGCAAGCTAATATGATTGCCTCTATAGCAGCTGAAAGTGGGGTATGTAGGAAGTTAAGATTGAAGAAATTTTCTGGTACTGCTGAAGACTAGAACAGTTGTAAATAAACAGGGGACTCCTGAAGCACAACTTCCTGGCCAGCCACTGTATTAGTTTTCTTTGCAGCTTGACTTTATGACCAATAAGATTTCTGTGAAGTAACCAAACTCAGCATGCCTTGGACTAATAAAAGCCAGTAGAAGGGTAGCTGGATGGAGAATATTTTTGCTAGCTCTTTTATACATCAGCTGGACAAAGGGAACCCTTGATACTGAAAGCTGAATAGTGAAATCTTCCTCATACAGGGGTAAAGGCTAATGTGGACAGCTAATTCAATCAGCTGACAGAAATCTGAGACTTCTCACTTGCATTCATAGTTAAAGGACAGGACACTACCTACTATACATTCTGTACTGAATTTGTGAAGGAGATGGGTGACTAAACAACTGGATACCACAGAAACTATACTATTTGTTTAAGAATAACTGAGTTTATATTCCTCATCCAGACCAAACTGAGTCTTGACACCATGGAGTAATGATTCATAAGAACAAAGGGTCCAAAACAAGGAAAACACAGAGAAGTGACACGATTGGTGTTCACCAGCCACCAACTAGGATTAGACAAAAGAGCCATACAGCTTTGTAAGATAGCAGAAAGGGTGTAAAAAGACAGAAAGGTAGACACCAGGACCAGGATGTTCTGGGTGGCTTTGGACTCAGGGGAGGTTCTGCTGGAACCACAAGTTCTACGGATGTGCTGAACCCTCTGCTTGTGTCTGTAACGAATGACAATCATGGAGCCACTAGACCAGGCCATGAGCAACGAAAAGCAGATTTCAGGGCACACCACCAATGCTACATAGAGTGAGTCATTGATTCCATCCCGCCCTTCAGTAGAGCAGTGTCCAAAATCTTGTTTTCCTGTCATATTGTTACTATATCTTTTGATAAGTGGATTCACAAATAAAATGAAATGTATCAATATGTACGAGACCCAGAGAAGGGAAAGGGTGCAGGCAATATGCTTAGCAGCTTTGAATTTTTATTCCTTACAACAGGATTCCTTCTGACTGAAGCCATCAGGTGCACGTGAATCAAATCTACAGTCTTTAATTTGCAGTCTCCATAGCAGACCAGATAGTAGTAAAACACAGAGAAATTTCCAAGAATTCCTACTGTAGTTAGTGATAAGAAAACTATTTTGATGATCAAAGTCCAGAAATACATTCTGTTATTGGTCATGATTCTCTTTAAATAATGGAAATGTTAATAACCCTAAGTCTACAAAGAGGCAAAATGGCCAAACCAGACTAGACTACATAACAAAAATTTCTCCAAGTTTATGATATTATCAATTATAACTTACAATGAAATTGACATTAAGAATGCTAAAGGCCTGATCATGACTATGTGAATGGCTGATATGCCTTCATCATATCATAGAGTATTCAAATTGTGGGATATTTTATTTGGCCTGTTAGAAGCAATTGGTACAAGAGGCAATACCAGGAAGCATAGTCCATGATTGTGAAAATGAACTAGCATTTTCACACCATGCTGTATATGAATAAAATTTCAATGATTTGTACCAAACTAAAAAATTACCAATTGTTATTGTATATCACATTTACATTAAAATCTGATAAATGAAAAACTTATAATATTATTCATGATATTTCTGCAGTTACATATGAAAATTTTATAAAAGGCATAAAATGTATTCAAATGATGGTTTAAGTAACAACATGTATCTTATGTTAAAATCTATCTTTTATGCAACTCACACCACATAGACAGAAACACATATATGTACATACTTAGGTTACAACTGTTAGAGCACTGTGGACATTCAAAGGGATGATAGCCCAAAGAAATGTGTCACCTGAAATCGTAAGGTTAATGTCACCATCTGAAGAATGATATCTAATGCAGGAATGTTCACGATCTCTGTTGAAACTATGTTTGGGACAATGTGTCACCAATCAGGATTCTAGATTGTAAATGGGAGAAGAAAGTGGCCCTGGATTAGACAGCCCATCAGTGCACTGGGAGAAGACCCTCAAGACACAATATTCTATTCCATTCCCTCAAGAGAATGTGTCTAAACCTCTTAAGAAGGGTGAGATTACACTGAAAAAGGAGGGAGAAGCAGTTGTAAATTAGTACAGTCTGAAGCAAGAAGCCTCAGGAAGGGTGCGATTGCTCCACTCATCATTCAGCCATGTAAGGACAATCAGCTTGCGTGATTATGTTGATATATGAAGGGTTTAAAACAAACTGATGACACTCATCATTCAGCCATGTAATGATAGTCCGCTTGGGTAATTTTGTTGATATATGAAGGATTTAAAACAAAACTGATGACCTTAGGAACTACCAGATAATAGCAGTTTCCCTTATTTGTGCACTAGAGAAACACTCTCGAGAATGGATATACCAGAAAATTGAAAGTATTCTATAATGTGAGGAAATACAAACTAGAAGGATCACAGGAAATACACTAAATATTGGAGCAGAGGACAAGTCCCTTCAGAAGCTCAAGCATGAGGTTTTGGGTGCTGTAAATATTGGTTTGGACCAACTCAATGGCTGAATCTGGGTTTGAGTGGTAGCAGGTTATTCTGAGAGACTCTGGCCACCTAGCTCAGGTGTGGCAGTATCAAACCCTCTTGCACTTCAAGGGTGGTTTACACTTGCCTTGTTAAGGAGTTGGACCATCTTTCTGGAGTGCAGGGATCAGATATAACACACTTTAATAACTCAGTTTTAAACACGGGACGAATGAAAACCCAGCATCCCTGGAAACTTAAAAGTTCCACCTACCTAGGATCATTAACTTGTTGAGAGGCCAGGAACATTCTAGGGAAGTATGCCTCTTCCCCTACCCTGCCACATATGTGTGGAAGGAAATTAAATTTTTGACGACATGACTCATTGTAAGAGCCTTTGTGGTGTTGGAGACTCCATGGATGACAATGAACAAGGGGAATCTATTCCACTCGCTTGCCAAGTATTTGGAAATCATACTGCATCTGTTGTAGGGAAGTAAGAGCAATGTGAAACAAAGGAAACAGATGGAAGCATCAACTACAGCGTGAAACTACTTTCATGCTTCATCAGTGAGGTCACTAAGAAATATCTGTTAATGGACATGGACCTTTGTCTTTAGAATTGAAGTATTCTGCACAGAAGGTAGAGTGTGATCACACTGGTTATAGATTCTTCACAGAAGGTAGAGTGTGATCACAGTGGTTAGATACATAAACATCTTGAATTCTCACAGGAAAACATTCACTTTCTAAGGTTCTATAAAGTGGTAATTGAATAATGGAAAGCACAATTTTGTGAGTTATATATAGCTGGTGTAAGTGTAAAACAGCAATGACAATTTATGAGTCACTGCCATGAGCTCAGGTTTTCACCTTCTTCAAACTGGATTTTCTAGGCAATACCAGAATATCACGGTAATGGACTAAAGTAAGAATCCCAAGTGCATGGGACTCTATAAATCTAAAAATGGCTTAGAGTCACAGTGAACAGTGCAAAGACTTGTACAAGGAAAGTGTTACAGAAACACAGTCACCTGAATCTGTGCTTACAAAACCATGTTGAGATCTGAAATATACTGCACCCTTCTTGTAGTTTGTGTTCCTCACTTGATTTTAGTTCATATTTTTGGTAATCTATGGTAAGCCTTGTGCTGTAAAATGTTTTCATAAAATGTTTTCATTCAGGATGAATAGGGAGGGGGTTCAGCTAAAGAAAGATGTCCTGGTGCTGCAGTGGATCCCATTTTGCTTCCCAGCACCCATTGGGTGTCTTACATCTGCCTGTCATTCCAATTTCAGGGGTTTGTCATCACTATTGGCCTCTGAAGGCTCTGAATTCTCACAGTGCTCATATTCTCTAGCAGGTAAAACAGTCATGAATGCAAAATAATGAAAAATATGTAACAAACATGTTTTCACATATGCATAAAGGATTACCTCTTAGGCAAATGTCAAATTTCAGTGCTACTGAGAGAATTGTTCTCAGTATGGTCTGACCTGACATAAAACTGTTCCATCTCCCACTTTGGTAGCAGAAGTAGAGAATGGACCTGATATATATGATACCACCAAAAATATAAATTGCTAATATTTCAGGGATAAAGATTATACTAGGTATACAGAGGAATTACTAACACAATTAATCTGAACAACATATAAAGGAAACACTAATTTGAAATTAATAACTAATACTACAAGATGTATAGTATGTTGATAAAACATTTCTTGTAAAATTCAGCAGTTGTTCACTCTTCTTTATTGTTATGTTACAAAACTGGACATCAGTATCTACCTCCTACTGTCTCAAATCTCACTGTGTAGGTCATGTTGAGCTCAAGTTTACAGAGATCAACCTATTCTTCCAGAAACGTTCTGTGATGAAAGGATTTTAAACACATCTGACATATTTGCTAACTCTTACATTAACAAGTCTATTACAATGAAATGAATAATGAATTTACACCGAGAATAGGACGTAAGATGATATTATGCAATCAGAAGAATGTAAAACCTATAATCTTGGACAGTGTGAGCATTAAATGCAGCCAAGTGTTAGTATTGTCCATGCTAAGTGTTAATGCAGACTTAGCCAAGGGCTAGAACCCTGACAGACCATGAAAAAGGCTCTGTCTTCCAATATCAATAAAGATATACAGTGAGTGTCGGAAGCTATCAGGTTCTGATTAATATTACAGTATGCTGAAACCAGCTGAAATAACTCCACATATTTTACCCTGGATAAAATAGCCTGACACTCATACTGAAACTTTCCTTCCATTTTCCTTTCCCAAGTTCAAGAAGGAGAGGCTTCAAACCAGTCATTGTACCAAATGCCACTCTCTAGAGATTCAGTTACTGCTTCTATAAACAAAACATAAACGTACTGTCACATATGAATAATTTTTACTCCAGAATCATACTCACCTCCTGCTCTTCTCTGAAATATGTGCAAATTATACTTTCATTCTACTGTTTTCCATGACATGAAACCATAGTAAAATAAACCCAACTACTTTATACTGAAGATATAGTCTACACAACATGTAAGCTGAAGTGAATTATTTCATTTATTTAGTATCAAAAACTTTAAACAGATAATGAGTTGGGCTGAATTATCATTCTCTTACTCACAGTCACAATCAGTGTGGAAAATATATGATACTAAGAAACAAAATGGATACAAGGTTAAGAATACTTGGATCTGTCTAGCTCATCTCCTAGGTATACAATTTATTCTTGTGCATTTTGTAAAGTCCATGGATTGGTTTCTACACCAGATCCCATACAAGACATGAACAATTACTCAGGCCTTTCTTTTGCTAACTCTATGACTCAGACTGAAATACACAGTACTCACCTGGCTTCTTGTCTCCGCAGGTTGGTGGGTTCAATGAGCAGATCCAGAGTCATTAATAAGCCTCAGTGTGGGAGAGTTAGAACAAGGGTGGTGTAGAGGTCTGTGACTCTGTGACCTCACCTCCCTCCAGAACTGCAATTTTCATTTCACCTTCAGTGACAAGGACAGCACTAGCTGTGGGAGACTAGACAATAAATGAAAATTTCCAGTTGTTAATTAGCAAAGATATTTTAGAGTTCCTTGTGTATTTACCCAGTGGCATAAGGTGTTAGGGAGAGGCATTGAGTTTTCATGATCCCTGAATGATGACTGGGTCTCCTGTGGAAGGTGCTAGAATCTTTCACAGATTCGTGTGATAGTGAGAAAATTCCCTCTGTCCCTTTGGATTCCACACTTCACTGACTTCTTCCAACACAAACCAACATACTTCACATTTAGAAGTTTATTTTTAACCTTTATTACTTAAAATATCTGAGTGTTTTATACATGCATATGTGTTTTAATCATATCTGCTCTCATTTCCTTTCTTACTGACCCACTCCTTATGACATGTGTTCATAAAATCACCTAAATTTTAATTTTCTCTTTTTAATTTTAATTTTTTTATTTCATTTTACATTCCAACAACAGTTCTTCCTCTCACCACTGCTCCCAATACCACCACCCTCTTCCCACCCCTGTCACTTGCCCCAGCCCCACCCCAGTCCACTCCCCCTCATTGCTAAGGGCTCCCATGTGGAGACATCCTAGTCTGGAACAATTGTTGGGCCAGGACCAGGCCCTCCTCCTATTGTTGTCTTATTGCTCCTGCTATAAATCTG